CCCCCTCCCTGCTTACCTGTGTCCAGGGAGGGAGGAGATTCAATCCCTGGTGGTCCGGTGGCATGGGGGGCTCCCCCGCTCCCTGTTACCACAGATGGGGTCCAGCACACTGCCTGTTCTCCTCTCTTCTAATAACTCTCGCTATCTCGGGTATCGCGAGAGTTATTGGAAGAGAGGAGAACAGGCAGTGTGCTGGGCCCCCTCTGCGGTAACAGGGAGCAGGGGGCCCGCGGCTGCACACATAGATAGCGATATTCACTATCTATGTGTGCAGAGAGGGAAAGTGGGTTGTCAACCTCTGATGGTGGCCCTGATAATATAGATATATACAATATATACTTATTATATATATTGTGTATATATACATGTGTAATTTAATTATACGTGTATTTTTATTTTAATATATGGATATATAAATATAAAAATACACTTAGTATGATATTATATATATGATATATATACATATATTATATATAGATATAATACATGTATATATATCTTATATATATACATATATTATTTTATTTTTTTACACTGATTTCTTTTTTTTTACTTTATTTTTGATTTTCTACTTGCAGGGAGACAGCACAGACAGTCCCCCTGCAGGCAGATACACAGGCATCTATTGCGGCCACGTGACCGCGGGGTCCTGATCTGCTGCGGGGAGACTGCCTGGGCAGACAGGCAGTCCCCCTGGACCGGGAGGAGCGCTGATCGTCGCCGGGGGACCGACGGCGATCAAGTAAGTACCCCCAGACTGTTATGACAGTTCAGGACCGTCATCGGTCCCCAAGGGGATGTTTCCAATGACGGTCCTGAACCGTCATCGGTCGTCAAGGGGTTAAAGGGTCACTATAGTGTCAGGAATACAAACTTGTTTTCCTGACACTATATAATCCTTAAGTGTCCCCCCTCCCTCAGGGCTTCCTCCCTCTGGGCTGAAGGGGTTAAAACCCCTTCAGCCACTTACCTTTATCCCTCAGCGCTGGTGACCTATCCTCCCAGTCCGACGTCAGCTCCCGAATTGAGCCAAATGCACATGCGCGGCCAGAGCCGCGCGCGCATTAAAAACGCCCATAGGAAAGCATTTCTCAATGCTTTCCTGTGGATGTTCTTGTTGCTTAATCCAATTTTCGCAGAAGCGCCTCTAGAGGCTGTCAGGAAGACAGCCACTAGAGGCTGGATTAACCCTGCAATGGACACACAGCAGTTTCTCTGAAACTGCTATGTTTACATCTGCAGGGTTAAAACCTTGGGGACCTGGCACACAGACCACCTCATTGAGCTGAAGGGGTCTGGGTGACTATAGTGGTCCTTTAACTTTCATGACTTGTCTATATACAAAGACGATGATAGGTTGAGTACTGACATGTACACGAAACCCACTGACTGGAACATTCACTAGCTTCCATCCTTACAAGACTATATGATCACTTCCCAGAAGTCAGTTTATGTGAGTACACAGGAAGATCTCAGATCCTCCTACCGCACTACTACCGTCTATACAAGACAAAATGGGTGACAAATTTGTCCCTATTTACTCAGTAAAGAAATGAACCATGTTTCTGCCCTTAAGAGAGCTGACATATTTCAACTAGAAAAACTAGATCACAATGCATTAGAATGCCCTTTGTCTCAACTTAACATGTGCACACATTCTGTTAAACATTGGTATATCCTGAGCAAAACCTGCCCTACTATGTGTTTACAACCTCCTGGACCCACTTTTGAAGGCAGACATTGGGCTTTCAGTTAACGAAACACACAAGATTTGTGGGTAATCCTATATTTTGGGCATACCCGTTAATCAACAGTAACGCATGTAATAACATCATCAGAGGTGATACATTAACATATCCCAGAGCAGGCAAGACCTACAAAAACAGAAACTACTAAACATGTAACTCTAGTTATGTGATCTACCTATTGCATATATGTAGGTGAGAAAACCGTGCGCATGAAGGATAGTCTTAACCACCACAAATCTACCATTTGCACGAAGAAACTTAACTTACCTTTACCTGAACATTTTATTTGCTGTGGTCACTCCATTTCTCAAATTTCCTTCCAGATAATTGATTCTGTTGACGTTTTACATACAGGGGGTGATAGAAAGAAGGTCCTACTCAAAAGAGAGACATTTTGGATTCACATCTTAGACATTGGCTATTACTGTATAATCATTATTCTACATGATGGCACTTATGGATGGAATAAACTTTGTTTTTGATTTCTAGTAATGTATTATTCCACATTTAGTGTATTACCTTGTTTTATATATATATATATATATATATATATTATTTGTTATTCATTCTCCTTGTTCTTGATCCTTATACTTTTGACACCCTCATTATCACTATAACACTTATATGTCTATTGATCCTTTAACGGATGCTTCCTCCTCATGTCTAGCTGTCTTACATTTGCATTGTTTCTTTGTGGCTTTATTTTCCCATGTGTTCACATGGGCTTATTTCACTGGTTTTATACATGGTCCTTTAATATTGGGGTTAACTCTTATATCCTCTCTTAACCCTTTATGGCCCACCATTTCTTGAGTTTCTGGCATTTTCCCCTCTTTAATGTATTTTCTTTCCTCGGTTGTAAGGATGAACACACTACTATTATTAGTGTCTAGACTTCTTTATGTTGATATTTTACTACTTTATTTTCTGACAATTCCTATGTTGGATTCTAGGGCAACCAGATCACAATGATCGTTTTTGACTCATGGGCCTGTGTATATATGCCGTGTACACAGACTTATACTTTATTTATGCTTTTGCTTTTAGTCCCTGATATGGTATACAAGCACAAGCGGGTGATGTTGGATATGACTTGCATCCTTAAGATTCCTAGGTCAAATAGTATCTAGGGAAATACACTGGAAAAAACATTACATGATAAATCAGTTCAAAGCCTGGAATGGCCTGCTGTCATGGAAGACTTAGAGTGTAGGCGATCATCTCTGAAACAGAGAAAACTATAAAGATATCATAATACCGTCTCTTTTGTGATGAGTCGTATGAATTGTCAGCCTCTCTTAGGTCTAAATAAGCACACAAAAAATCAAAAACCACAGGATCTCTATGTTAGATTAATCGGAAATATCTATAAAGTTCAGCAACATCTGGAGATGTAATGTCTTCCAGCAGAGCATTACGTGTTACAAGTGACAGGAAGAAATGGAGGACCCTAACTTGTCATCCTTGTTGATATTTTACATATGATTCACAAAACACCTGCAAATATATGTCTCAAGTGTTAAGAATCATCAGTACTGTATCCTCAGTGCTGCTGGTATAAAACCCACCCTAGACAGCATACACTTAAAAAAGGGGACAAATGAGCTAGGAGATAAAGGGCAATCAGCAGACGAAAGCTTAGCAAACTAAAATGGAACTGTTTCATCATACGTAGATAGAAAATATTCATAATCATGTAGGTTGAAAAAACTCATGTCAATCCAAGTGCAACCTTTACAGTCGAGAGTTGTGACATGATTTGAACATATCATGAGTGGTCATGTCAGTACTATGTAACCAATCTATGTCTTGTTGTACATTGTTCCCAGTGTCTGTTTTATCCCTTTCGTTCTCCATAATTGTTTAGAATGCAATGGGTACCCCCTTCATATGGTAATGTTCAAATTGTACATCAGCAAGTGATTTTTAGTCCCATACAAAGGCGCCATTACCATTGCTAGCAACACCTGTTGTATATTTGCTGCTGAGTGGAATTCTTCATTTTGTGGACATGTTGACATTCCACAGTTGTGGTTTGCTACTCAATGTTTAATGATATACTTGATATATGACTTTATTCACCTGTCATGGTGATGCTCACGCTCTTCATTTGGTAGAATTGTGAAGGCTTGTTTCAATGCAAGGGCTGAGTAAAGTAGAAAGAAGATAGTCCTCTTTGTTTGTAATGAGATTAAACCTGACTTAAACTGAAGCAAAATACCATGTGAATCACCAGTTACACTACTATGTTGTCATACTCATTACACTAAGCATGCCTCTAGTAAATCTATAAGGTGCATTGTCCCACGAACTATAGTACCACTATGACTCATCACCGTGAATTATGGTTTGTCTTCATTTTTCTGGGAATATGTGTTTTTTTTTTGTTTGTTTGTTTGTTTTTTGGGCTGAATTCCTATTGTATAAAGGGCTATTGAAAACTGACTTACATTATCAAACAATTACCAAGTTGGAAATAATAATCAACCAGGTAACGTTGGAAGTTTGTTTTACATCTCACGTATCTTATTAAACTCCAAGATAAACTACGGTTGAGATGTTTCCCCAGTAGCAAACAAGGCATGATTCAGGATATTTGAGCATCACTTTGTTTCCTTCTGTTTAGATAAAATTGCACCTTCAACTTTAGTGACTCCAGCTATTTCAGAGAATAGGGTGAATGATCTGTTTTATAAATGTCAAAATTTTAAATGTTTCTGCTAACAAACACAGATTTTGACTGACTTGTATTTAATTCCCGAAAAGATAGCTCTATATATTTTATCTTAGAATTCTTACCGGCATGTTATTGCCATCTAGTGGTTGCTATAGATTCTCACTCTAAATAAGATTCCATTGTGAGAATTTCAGTTCTCATCATCTTAAAAGTTGCAGTATGCTAACCCTTAGCTAAATTGTTAATGCAAAAGTAAGAATAAATGTGAATAAATAAATAAATAAATAAAGGGAGAGAAAAAAAGAGAAATAATTATTGGAGAATAACTATGCACAGGTTTCTAATTCAGTCATAGTAAGTAACAGTCATCTAATATTTCTGCACATAGAACCATCACTGAGACAGTTCTATTGGTTCCTGTGGTGACGGTGACTGTATCCCATTTAGTACTTTTCCCAAAAACTATTGTTTAAATATGTCCAGATATATACCAATAGAAATTCTGTTGTTGTGAAATATAAATCTTCAAGGTTCTAAGATATTGAGTAAATATTGAGATTCTGACATTCTTTAACATGGCTTTAGGACTTTACCAGACTTTAACATCAAGCACACTAACTACAGAAACCATGCAAAGCTTGCTCCGTCATGTGTACCCTAAAGAAACCCCAGAAAAGATTGCTGGTCTTTCCAGACTTGTGATTTCGGAAATGGATGACGCAGACAAAGGTGAGAAGTTAGCTACAGCAACTTATTTAACTTGCAATGTTTGTAGAGCAAAAGATAATGCATATGTTCCCAATATCTGGTGAATCAGCCAAGAATAAATTATTATAATTATTTTTATTAGGTATTTATATAACGCCATCATATTCCGTAGCATTTTACAATACTATCAAAGGGGGAGATTTAACAATAAATTAGGCATTTACAAAAACTTACAGGAACAATAGGTTGAAGAGGGCCCTGCTCAAATTAGCTTACAGTCTATAGGAGGTGGGGCGTAAAACACATAAGGACAGGAGGTAGCAATCAAGCAAGGTGGAGTGAAGCAGAGCTGGGAGAATGGTAGAGTGCTGCCCTTTAGGAGAGAGCAAAGGACAGGTACATGATGTAGAGGTTACTCTGGGAGGCCATAAGCTTTCCTAAAGAGATGGGTTTTGAGGCACTTTTTAAATGATTGAAGTCTAGGGGAGAACTTGATGGTCATAGGCAGGCTATTCCAAAAGCAAGGAGCCACCCGCGAGAAGTTCTGCAAGCGTGAGTTGGCCGTACGGGTGCGAGCAGTGGACAGGAGAAGGTCACAGGCAGAGCGGAGAGACCAAGAAGGTGCATACCTGCGGATCAGTGAAGAGATATAGGAGGGGCTAGAATTGGTCAATGCTTTACAGGTGTGGATTAGTATTGTAAGGACTGACATTCATTACAGACTGTAGCGGGGCAATACGACCTGTGGGAAGGCCTATTAGGATAGAGTAACAATAATCCATGCAAGAGATTACTAGAGCATGGACACGATCCTTAGTAGCATCTTGCGTAAAAAAGGGGCGGATGCGGGCTAGGTGGAATCTACAGGATGTGGTAAAGGACTGAATGTGAGGCTCAAATGTGAGGCCAGAATCAAGTATAACTCCAAGACAGCACACTTGGAAGGATGAACTGATGTGGGTACCACTAACTTGAAGGGAGAGTGAAGGAGGAGGATCAGTATTAGGGGGAGGAAAGACAAGGAGTTCAGTATTAGAGAGATTGAGTTTCAAAAAGCAGGAGGACATCAAGTCAGAGATGGAAGAAAAACAAGCAGTGACACATTGCAGAACAGCAGGCGAGAGGTCCGGGGTGGAGAGGTATGTACAATAGGGTACAATAAAATACAAAAACATTATTAATACACAATACATACAAAATTAAACATAGAAGAGGTAGAAAATATATAATCAACCATGACAGGTGCATTCTGTTTTGAGATATGTAGCGAGAGATCTCTTGAAGGAATTTAGGCCTGGGGAAGATCTGAATGTGTGCGGGAGGTCGTTCCATAATTGCGGTGCTCTGTAGGAAAAGGAGGATTGAGCCGCTAGGAGATAGCCAGTGAAGGAAAAGAGAAAGTAGGGATGGATAGAAGTTGGGAATCAATATTAGCTGATAGCTGCTGGAGGTCAGATTTCTTCTTAGTTGCGGGGGTAAGGTTGAGGATGATGGAGTAAGGGGCTATTGAGAGCAAATGATAAGAGGTGGTGATCTGAGAGAGGAAATGGAGTGTTGCAGAGATTAGAGATTGTACATTGATGAGAGAAAATAAGATCAATGGTATTGCCAGCTACATGGTTGGGGGACTTAGCCCACTGTGATAGCCCAAGGGAGGAGGTCATTGAAAGTAGTTTTGAGGCTACTGAGGACAAGGGCAGGTTATTGGGAATGTTGAAGTCCCCAAGAATTAGGGATGGAATATTAGAGGAGAGGAAGTAGGGAGGCCAAGCAGCAAAGTGGTCAAGGAAGAGGAGAGGGGAGCCAGGGGGACGATAGATAATGGCAATGTTATCAGAGATGGGTTAGGAAAGGCGAATTGAATGAATTTCAAATGATGAGAAAGAGAGGGAAGGGGGGATGGGTAAAGGTTTGAAGGAGCAGTGAGGTGAGAGAAGTAGCCCTACACCACCACCTTTGCTTTCAGAGTGTCTTGGGTTGTGGGAAAATTGAAGACCACCAAAGGATAGAGAAGCAGGGCTGGAAAATAGAGGGAGAGAGGGAGAGAGACATGTTTCATTTACGGCTAGTAAGTCTAGGGAATGAGAGATGAAAAGGTCGTGCACAGCAGTGGATTTAGTCACACTGCAAACAGAGCGTGCATTCCAGAGAGCAGAAAGGAAGGAGGATTTAAAGGAAGAGTGACATGAGATGGGTATGAGATTATTGTGATTCCTGGAGTTAGTACATGGTGGGTTAGCGGAGGTGGGACCAGGATTTGGAGAGACATCACCAGTTGCTAGAAGCAGAAGGATAGAAAGTAAGAGAAGGCGGGTAGGATTTAAAGGTTTTGGGAGAGGGTTTGTATTTAGAAGTTTTTCAAAAAGGTTGATGGAGATAGGCTGGAAAGGTATAAGTAGAGTGCATGGGATGAATAGCGAGGGAAGGGAAGTATAATGGGAGCAATGAAAATGGTGCCAACAGGGACAGGTGAGTAGAGGGATAGAGAGATATTGCTAATTAGTGAGGTGAGAGTGAAAGTAAAGAATATAAGGGAGAGCATTTTCTAAAGAGAATAAAGGAGTTTATATTATAAAGAAGGAAAATTAGGATTTTTAGTTATGCAAAATTAGATGAGGTGGGATCTTAAAGTCACATGAGCGATGAAAGGGATCAGGGTTTGCAGGTAGGGAATGTGATTGTTGAGCAGGTGATGAGGGTTTGAGAGACATAATTAGTGTGTTTGGAAAGTCTGGTCATTTGTGCCATCTATAAATGTAGTGAGTTCCTTGGGGTGGGGTGTTGAGGGGAGAGGTGGGAGGGAAACCACCCAAAAGAGCTGTTGACTCCTGTTTATTTAACGCATGATATATACTACGTAAACTATGTACTATGCAAAACATTTAGCATTAGCAAATATAACATCAATTAGGCAGTATAGAGCATACACTTTTAACATAATTACAGGAACACTAAAGCACTAGGAATGCAACCACACCCACCATAAAGGCCTGGGTGACTTTAGTGGTCCTTTACACCAAACAATAGATCAAGCAAAGTATAAATCCGCAAAAAATAAAACACAGGAATAAACATGCGAATGCTGTAGAGTTCCTTGTTCTACGGATATATTGCTGAAAATTGAAATATTGATGCTGTCAGCAGTTATTATTAAACTAGCTTCCACTGCTTTGGGCATCAAGACTTCTATAGTCTTAAAACATTAAAATAACTAGAAAATAAGTAAATTGTTCTATTTTCCAGCACATCTGAAAATGCAATTAAAATAAAGCTATTGAACCAGTGAGTGGGAGTTCGGGGAGTTCGCGGGGGGTTATACTTTTTGTTGAAAATATATTTTTTTCAAATTGTATTACATTTTATACTTTTTACTGTTGCTTAGTAGAGAGCTTCTCATATTCAGGACACAATTCTAGGATGTGCCATTTGCACAAAAAAAAAGCAGAAGTGGTACAATTTCTACTGTTATACTGTTACCATCAGGAAGGTGTTTCTTTGCACATGAAAAAATATTTTTTTGCATCCTAGTTATTTAAAATTAGTTGTGTGAAAACGTGTCACCCAATTGCTAGCAGAAAAGCATTTGCACTTGCATTTGCGTAAAATAGGCGGGTTTTACGCAGATTATTTTGCAGTTACCTGAGTTTATTGGAGATCACTTCTAACCTATTAAAACATACAGAATAAAATACAAGGTATGTGTACATGCATGTATGTTAAACTGCTTTACCTGTGTTCCAGTGGATCCCTAATGGTCATGTGGGGGTTCTTCATTACCAATATTAGGTACAGACCACTTTATAAGCGACCTTGTTGTTCCAGTGCCCAGTTAGAGGACCACTATAGTGCCAGGAAAACATACTCGTTTTCCTGGCACTATAGTGCCCTGAGGGTGCCCCCACCCTCAGGGACCCCCTCCCGCCCGGCTCTGGAAGGGGAAAGGGGTAAAAACTTACCTTTTTCCAGCGCTGGGCGGGGAGCTCTCCTCCCTCTCCAGCGTCCGATCCGCCCATGCCTGAATGCGCCGCTGCAGCGGCAAAGCGGCTAGCGCATTCAACCATGCGCGGAAAGCAGTAAATGCTATGGGCCGCTGCGTGCTCACTGTAGAAAATCACAGTGAAACGCGTAGCGCCTAGTAACTGTCAATGGGACAGCCACTGGAGGATAGAGAAAACTAACCCATTCATAGTATAGCAGTTTCTCTGAAACTGCTATAATTATGAAAAAATGGGTTAACCCTAGAAGGACCTGGCACCCAGACCACTTCATTAAGCTGAAGTGGTCTGGGTGCCTAGAGTGGTCCTTTAATGTCTCAGACCACTGGCTGTGGTGTTCTGAGGCATCCAGAAGAACTGGGGGGACCATGAGGGCACTCTTAAAGTAGACTGTTACTTGTTAAAATATTGCAACTTAGAGGCTTGGACATGGGAGGAACTCCTGTAGGTACTGTAACTTCAGTCACATGAAGTTGTTATATTGAGTACAATGTTCCTTTAACATAATACCATTGATTACATATCTGGGAACATTGGTAATCACTAGTATAGGACAACAAAAATAAACTGGTTGATGTTTAATGTATTTATCTTAAATTGTAGCTGTTTACCTGGAAGAATACATTGAGATTTCTCTGTCGAGTACATTAGCCCATATCTATGTTTCTCTGCAGGGTTCATTGATGAAGATCAGTTTGTGTCATGGATTCAAGCAATGCCTCAGACGTCGATAGCATCGATACTTAGCTTCCCAGTAATACCACCTGACTTGGAATCCTCTCACACCCAGAGTTCTCCATCCGTGCCGGTAATTCTTAGAATGCAAAGCACGTAAACTGCATAACAATATGCGACACTTGTAAAATGTTGAGGAGAAACAAAGTATTGGACTTCTAATAGGATTTTATGTAAAATGTTGTCATAAAAGTAGAAATCCCAGTTTGCCACACTCATAGAATATGTATATAGTATACCGACAACTAGGAACACAAGCTTGGCTAAAAGGGAATTTATTATAATAGAAATATTTTTTTATCTTTTGAGCCAAATAATTTCTATGATTTTACTGGAATAATTTCCCTATGTGACAAGCCTGTGTGGCTGTCTGTCTGCATTCTATGAATGTGGAGCTGGTTTCTCCATTTGTAAAGCACTGGGATGTCTGTCTTTTCATGTGAGATATTTATATAAACAATATGTGACTAAAATGATGAAATACTTGTTAATTTTATATTGCTTACTTATGTTTACACAGGACTAGGAGAGAAGCATTCCTGCTAACTTCCTCGTCCCAGTAAGTGGGACGCCAGTGGGTGGGTGTAGAAGAGGGTAGACGAGCAACATGATTCCCCACAAAGAGGGTTCTGAAGAATTGATAGCTCGCCAAGCAGCCTCTCAATCCCACAGGCCAACTACTGAGGGCAGGACATGCATACAGTGGTGTATTTTGGATCTGTGCTGCCCTAGGCACGACGGAAGTCGGGTACCCCCTAATTTAAATTTCCCTTGCCCCTTCCTGTGAAGGCCACACCTCTTCCTGTCAAAGACTAACACACACTTTGACTGACAGACACACACTCTCAGATACACTGACATACACACACACTCACTGATTTTACACAATCTGACAGACACACAATCACTGATTCACTGACACACACACTCACAGACACACACACACTAACATTATCCCCCAACACTCACAGATTATTTATTTTAATTTAAATCCACCCAGCCTCCCTACCTTTGGGAGAGCTAGGTGGATTTTTTTACCTTAGGTCCAGTGGGGCTGCAGCCCGGGCTGTTTAGGCAGGGAGTGAGGCAGACATGCAGGCATTTGGGCGGCTAGCCGAGCTCCAGGCGGGCGGTGAGGGAACGCTGATTTGTGAGCTCTCCCTGTTCAGCTCCTCAGGAACTCTAACCAACTGTAACCAACTAAAGGGTTATTCCAAGCACTATGATCACTTCAGTGATTTGAAGTGGTCATGGTGCCTGGAGTCTGTATTTGCAGCGTTTCACTATGAAATTGTGCACATACAGAGATTTACTTGCTTGCTGTCAGAACTTTAACTCCACCTGTAACATCATTTATTGTCTGAGAGTGATCAGCTGACGCTCTCCGCCAATGAATGTTGACAGAATCGTCAGCTCTGCAAAAGCAGGAACCACGTCACTGGACATGGAGGACCCTCTGTGCTTCGAGGGACCCAGGTAAGATTGCAAACCATTGCCTCATTACCGAGGAACAGGGCCACAGTCCTTCTAACATTATAACCAGTACAGCGGGTTGTAATGGCTTATGAGGTCTCGAGTAACCCTTTAAATCTCAATATTGTTTCTTGATTATTGTTTTAAGACTAACACATTATTTCACGTCATATATACATTACTTGTTTGTATTTTTGCCAATCTTGTTTCTGCCATAGACTGCTTCGGTGTTGGCTGAAAGAGGGAGAGTACGCGACGACCAACTCCACAATGTTGCTACATTGATGGTAAAAAGAAAGAGAGACTGGAAAATGTTAGCCAACCGCATAGGCTTTCTAGAAAAGGACAGCAGATTCTTTGAACAAGCTCATCCTGAAGTTAAAGATCAGGTGCATAACATTCACAAAATCGTCAGTGTTATAACATAATTATTCAGCTCTGAACAGTGTGCAGGAAGTGGAGAGGGTGGGGATATCACATTAAGTCTTATCCACATCTCTCTGGCCAGCAACTGCATGCTGATTGGAACTCTAATAACAAGCCGAGGAACATGCAGGTCTTCTGCCACAGCCCTGCTACAATATTGGTTACAGTGTATGGGGAGATAAAAACACACTTGGAGTATGAGAGATCCACTAGGTATCCAGGGGTAAGAGATGTTAATAGACACAATGGGTAAGTGGGTTACAAAGCAAATATGTGGGCAAGGGGGTTTAGGAGAGACATGTATGGGGGTAAGAGGGTTCAGGAGACACACAATGGGTAATGCTGGTTGCACAAAAAAATGTAAAACATTTTGGGGATGGTGCACGACCCACAGTTTCACTCCAGGTGCCAAATAACCTGGAAATGACTCTGTACAGATCCCTTGAATGCTGGAATAAGTAAGAATTTGCAAGTTGTATCCACTGAATGCAGGGCAGGCTGGTGCATAGGGGCAGGTAGTCCACCTACCCCCAGTTTTTGTTGTCAAAAGGTAAAGCCCATTGGCGTGGTAAGGACTTGTGATAACTGTGTGTTGGAAAAAAGTGTTTTGTCTATCGTGGTTATATCTGCAATTACCATCCTTCCATTTGTTGATGGCTAGAGATGCTCATGAGAGGCTACAAAACTATTCTTATCAAGATTTTGGGCAATTTTTAATAACAAAAATGTCCATTTTCTGGTTATAGACCCCTAAAACATACCTAGTTTGTTCTAACAGGGTTTCTGGTGACAGGCACTGGATTTGCATAAGGCCGTCTGATACTGTATGCTCTTAAAGCCAGAAACTCTGTTTGGTATATGGTTCTGAACTACAGGACTGTCATTGGGCAACAGCATCAGCAGGTGGGGTTGGACTTCACTAAAGTGATTGTGGTTTCCCAAATACATGTATATAGGTTTATGGTTGAAAAGGACATACCACAACAAGACAGGGATCAGTGCCACCATCTTTAAATTTCACCATCTGCCCCTTAATACAAGTGAAAATAATCTTGCAGCAAAGGATGCATGTCCATGCTTGTTTGAGTTTGAAACATACTCTGTTAATTTCCAGATCCTTGATCTCCTGCTAGTGTGGAGGAATGCTGCGGGTGAGCAGGGACAGTCTCAGACTCTGCAGGATGCACTGAAACACACCGGGAATGCCGATATCGCCAATGAGATCTTCTCCCTCGAGTTTTAGAACATCGTTCTCTTATCCACATACACAACTATGGATTCATAAACAGTAGAGATAATGTCTTTAAGTGTTCAAAAAGAGATTTAATTTCATCATGTGCATAATAATTTTAAATGTTACAGAAATATAGATTATTCCACCTACAAAGAATATGTATTTATTTAAATGTTTTAGATACTCATCGTACATAGACATAGGTAACATTATGATCTTTAAAATAGTGATTAAATTCGTGGCATCATTGCGTTGTGCCAAGGAACTAATGAATAAATATGGATATAGGCACTCTGTTTAAAATTAAAATGTCTTATGAAGATACTCTACTTCCACAAAATTCAAAACCGACTACCATACACTTCAGCCATTGTATTATTGTATGTGTGTGAGTGAGTCTGTTTTTATATTCTAGTCCGTCATAAATTATTGATTATATTCAAAAGTCAGTTATCCACTGTTAAAGAATTTTTATCATTGTGACAAGTTTATAATCTAATACCTAACAATATACATATATGTATATGTATCCTTTTAATGCATTTTATACTTATGTTGCAGAATGTTATATTAGTAAAATTTTATCTATTAAAAACAAGAAGAAAAATCTTCTGCATATGAACAGGCAAGCAGTAGTTTCTGAGAGTTCACTAAAGATCAGGACGATATTCCACCAATTGGGAGCTTCTCGTTCTAGTCTTTGAGTCAGAGCATATCCCATTAATTTCTGTAAACTGTAGAACATATGGTGAGATATGTATACTACTTCAAATACTAAAAGTTAATCCTAAAGATGTCAAGGGGTAAAGGGGGATTGATAGCTAAAAGCCAGTCTGGATGCAATGTCATTTGTATCTTGTTCATTGATGTTACAGCTGTTAATGCTTTATGGTTTACTGTTTAACAAACAAGATAAAACAATGAATGGTCTTGTTACATTCTACACAAAGCTTTCGAAACACTGACATTTCAAAAAGAATACACAAAATAAATAATAAAACTATACGGTGTATTTTTGTTTGATTTATGAACTTAATATTTTCAGCATCATTTTAAGATTTACAAAAAAGAAAAGATGTTCCTGTTTTTTGTGAAATAATATTAAATAATTTGAAAAGCGTATCCAAAAATATTTAAGCGAGTCCATACTATGTAAAAAAAAAAAAAAACAACACAGTGTAATACACAAAGGAAAAAGTTTCACCAGTCCTGATTTTATCCCTCTTAACTGATTTGCCTATTAAGTGAATAGCCCCTCTAGTATGAATATGATAAAGAATTGAAAAAAGGCTAGAATTGTTGTGCAGTTAGAGGTGTGTATTATTAAGCTAACAGGCAGAGTAATTTGTATGATCATGTCAATCAAAAAAAAAAGCCACATGTCATGGTCCATTTTTGTGCAAAAGTCACAAAATTATAATGCAAAAAAGGAGAAATTGAAAGGAATTTCTGAGTCTGAGTTACTGTGTGATTTGAAAAGGTGATGAGAGATCAGAGAGCATAATGTGTGACCGACATGTAGGGACAGAAAGGAGGGTTTGGGGTTTTAGAATACTGGGCTAGTTTTGCACTTGGGCACAATCTTTGTTGCACTGGTCAGTTGAGTCTGCTATTCTTCGGGTGGGGATGGATAGATAATTGGAGAAGTCTTTTAAACTAGCAAGAGGTGGGCAGGGACGTAGAAGGTTAAATAAGGTAGAAAGTATAGAGTAGCAATGGCATTAAAAGAAGCTTAATGAACAAAATGTGAGTGCTAGAATTACTGGCATGTGATGGACAGTACAATATCAGTGGTATTACAGAAATGTGGTGGGATGAAACATATGATTAGGCAATTAATTTAAAAGTATATTAGGTGTTTAGGAAGCATAGAAAAAATAGAAAAGGTAGAGGAAAAGATTATACTTCAAACATGAATGGAAACCTAGTATTAGTTCCTAGTAAGGAAGCCCTATATGTCCTCTCTCTTTACTGGTTAGTATGCGTGACCCTACTTGTGGCATTGTGGGTGGGGGCATAATGGAGGTTTAAATCCTCCTTTATAGTAATGTTGGGATCATGTTGACCTCATAGGCTTTTTTTTATAACAATGTGCTTGCTGGCTCTGCTCTGCTGAGTATCACAGTACCTGTGAAGGTTGGCATAACGCTACACTTTTTATGACCTTATTCTAGTCGCACAGATGGTAGATGACACAGACGGAATTAATGCTCTAGCTTTTACTTTGCCCATTATTATACTTCGCATAAACTGCCAACAGCTCTTTACAATTATACAAACTGGGAAAATTGACACACAAAATAATATTAACAGAGACAAGAAGAGAAGTTTCTGCGCAAAGAAGCTTATAAATATATTCATGCATCAAGCTCATGTCTACTCATGTTCACCTTCTGGCTTTGCAGAATTGTCTCAGATTGAATGTGTCATTTAATCCCCTGCATCCATTAGTTCAGAGACCTTATGACTGCTGAGGAAACATCCCTTAGATGACACATCCCTCCCAGTATACCCTCTCTCTTACACCATCACCCCCTCCCAGTATAGCCCCTCCTACACACCATGACCCCGCTCCTTCACAGTATCACCCACCTCTCTCACAGTATATCTCCTCCCTCCCAGTATTACCCCCTCCCACACACCATCACCCCCTTCCTTACAGTATCAACCCCCTCCCACACACTATCGCCCCCCTCCAACACACTATCACCCCACTGTTCCTCACAGTATCACCCCCTTCCTCATAGCCCCACACACACACACACACAGTATCACCCCTCACACACAAACTGTCACCCCTCCCTCATAGTCACCCACCCCACTACACACTGTCACCCTCCCTTATACACACTCTCACCCTCCCTTACACACACTGTCACCCCCTCACACACACACATTGTCATGCCCCCCCACGCACTGTCATCCCCCACAATGTAGTGTCACCATACTCTCACACACGGTCAGCCTCCCCACACACACTGTCACCACCCACAGTGTAGTGTCGCTATACTCTCACACACTGTCAGCCTCCCCACACACACTGTCAGGCTACCCTCACACTGTCACATCCCCACACATTGTCACCCCTCACCACACTGTCAAACCCCCCTTTACACTTTCAGACCTTCACGCATCCACACTCACATTAACCACTCCTAATCCTGTTAATCTCACCCCCTCCAAACTCACTTGCCCTTGCTCTGCCACACTCACCCTGTCAAATTAACCCCTCCTAATTCTGTCACACTCACCTTCTCTCACTCTGTCACACTCTCCCCCAATCCTGCCACACTTATCCCATCACATTAATGCCTCTAATCCTGTCACACTCTGCCACACTCACCCAGTCACATTAACGCCCCTTAGTCCTGTAACACTCCGTCCTCCAACCATGCCACATTCACCCTTCACCCCAACCCTGTGATACTTACCACACCCCAACTATGCCACACTTACCCTGTCACATTAACCCCTCCAATCCTGTCACACTCGTCCATCCTACCATGCCACTATTGCCCTGACACACTTACCTTCACTCGTCCTGTCACACTCCCCAGCAAACCATGTCATTCTCGCCTGACCTCATTCTCTCTCTCAACCCTTCACACTGTTCCATTTACCTTCTTCGTCCTGTCACACTCTCCCTACCACTGGTACCCTTTACTCACTCTGTAACAGTCACCTGCTAAAGACATACATTATACACACTTTGTTATTTGGTAAATGATTTTTTTAAAGATTTTTTTGCTCAAACCAAATTTTCATACTTATGAATACACGACTGCCAGGCTATGCAACCATACCTCACAATTGTGTATAAACGATTGGCATAATTGCAAATTAAATTTATTTCTTGCAAATTAATTCTGTTTGCAAATTATGCTAAAACTACAGCCAGAGAGCTCACAATGCAGGGGTACAGGAAGCCGCAACACTGCAAGCTTCTAAACAATGAATGCAGAGACTAACTCTGTATCCAGTGCTGCAAGCCCACCTTTCAATACAACGACTGCTCCTTACACACAGACAAAATACAAGTATATATTTTATACTTCGGGTGTTAGTGGGGCAACATGCTTGAATTTCATCTAAGGCCTCATAAAGTCTAGAGCCGCCTCTGCTCACGAGTGCGAAATGTTTACATTTCATATGTTTATGGGGAACCTAAACCTAAACCATCAGTGAGAAATGTTAAAGTAAACGATTTTATTTGTGTTTGTGTTCTGCTGGGGTATCGTCATTTATCAATTGTCAAGGAATAAAACATGGTGGTGCCGCAGCTCAAAAAGCTTAAAGTCTAATGACCGCAATATGTATACTGCAATCCTGTAAACTTGAAAATAACATGTACTGGCTCAGGGTTGCTGAGCATTGGCCGTGATTTTATCTTTCATCTGCAAACATGTAATGTGGCAGATGTGATCTTGGTGGCATTGGGTGGCATCCGAATGAGGTTGAAGCCTCATGGACCTGAGAGCATAGTCTGTCACCATTAGATTTCCCCCTCCGAGAACCTAAAATCTGTTTAAACAAGGAGGTTAGGTTTTCTCTAGGGTCTCCATCAGTGTCATTCTCCTCAAGGACACAATTTAAACAGTGTGAAGTCTAACTCAGTCTGACCCAAGTACTTTGGTCACATTTTGGTCCATTTCTGTTTGAGCCAATCAAGGCCATGACTGCTGCCTGGACAAGGTGAGTTCATGACAGAAATCAGCTTTCTTCTCATTTTTGTCACCTGTCAGTGTAATCTATGTTAAGGAATACAATCAGACTTTATTCTCTGCAAATCCAATTTACACTGAAAGATATACTTGAAAACTCCAGTCAAAGTTGCAGGAGGAGGTTTAGTCGGAACATATTTACTTATAGACTTTCTATTTAGTCCCTCGCATACATTTTCTGACTTCAAAGGTTGACTTAATATTCTCGGCTGTTTTTTCTGTATTAGTATAAATGCAATATATTTACTTTAAAATAAATCATTGCGTGCTGGTTTTTTCTGTTTTTATGTATTTTCTGGAACAAAAAAAGACATCAAAGACATTTAGACGCAATCTGTAATTTACTAAGTTAACTTTGTGCAATGTTCCATCATCCATCATCATTGTACAAGTAATTGTAGCTAAAAAATAGGTTAAAAAAAAAACAAATTTCTGCCTAATTATTGTCTTGTGCTATCCAAGTACCAATTTAAACACATTCAGTTGTGCCACTATATTATAATAGGATATGTGCTTTAAAGAGGAAATTATTAATGACTATATTTGTATGACTTGTACCTTCAGTTCACTGATTACAAGGCCTGGCCTTAACAAACTGCCCAAAGTCTTCATTACAATATAGTTATTAGGGTGGAATGAGCATGTCCATGTGTTTGAGAAAGGGCTCATGTAGGATCTGGTATTTTTCTACACAGCTCTAGTGAAAAGCTGAAGATTCATAGTACCCCTATGAATCAAGCTGTGAGCATGGAAAAATGAAAGGCAATGTAAACAGCTTTATTATGATTGATTTATCAATCATGAGTATTTCTGCTTCTTTTTATAAGGGCATAAATGATTCAGCATGGAAGAAAAATTGGTAACAGAGCACACCACCTATTTTTACACCTCCTCATGTAAGCCCATTTATTTTTGCCATCCATTCCGCCAATCGTTACATGGTACCAGCTCGGCATAGACAAACGGTAGCATGTCATCTTTCCCTCCGTGAACCATGCAGGAGGCAGCTGGTACCTGAGAATACCGGTGTTTCGAACTGGTATTTCCATCACCCTCTATGTATTTATGTTTACTGTATGTTTACAAATAGAGATTTAGGTCCACCTCTCAGGACCACTTGGCAAATTGCACAAAAAGAATGTTTTATGCAGAGTTCAAAATATGGCACAAGATAACAACGACTCTGCTCCAGATATTGAGGCTTACGCTTGCTTCCCATTACAATGCCAAATGTGAAGACTTTCAAATATTAAAATTCCTCACAAGGAAGTGCCTCTATTATCTTATGTTTTGGCATGAGAACTTTATCAAGCTCAAATACATATTTGTTTTTTTTGTTTGTTTGTTTGTTTGGTTGGTTGTTTTTTTTGTGTATGCAGCAACATGAAGGGAAGAGAATGAGCTATTATTCATTATCATCAGAGCAGAGAAGACCAGAAGCCACGAGAGATGGAAGAGACAACTTAACAAAGGAGAATAAATTATTGTTTAATGGTATAGCAGTGTTTCAGTGCTTGTAATAAAGTTTTTATGTTTTTTATTTCACCATTTCTCGGTTCTCATTAAACCCCTGTAGCTGATAGTAAACCGATAACAATTTTCTTACTGCTAAGGACCCATCATTGTGTACTCCAGTGTGATTTAAAGCAGTTCCACAAATCCACATACACTTTAATATATTTTATTTAATTAAAAAGAAAATCTGTATTTTGAAAAATAATATCTACCACCCTGTGTGCCAGGCTGTAGTGTGAATCGGAGTGATAAGCTTTGTAGAGTGTGGTGGTGTCATAGGAGCTATAGTGAGTGGGGGGTAATAGAAGCTGTAGTAAGGGTGGGCGTGATATGGGCTATAGAGACTGCAGGTGATGTGGGTTGTAGTGAGTGTGAGGGGTGATAGGAGCTGAATTGCTTGATTAAACAGAAGTTACTAAAAAAAAAAAAAATTAAAAAATATGAAAATGAATTTCACCCCTCTGTTCAGCTAAACACAGCTGATCCAGTACTGCATTCATTAGTTGAGTGTGTCAGCTGAGCTATATCAGCCAGTGAGAATGACATGCATAACTAGATGATCTGCAGAAGGATTTATGAATTCGGATTTGCAGCCACATGTGCTGTAGGGGATTTTCCCGTGTAGGGAAATTTGATAGAACCCCGGCAAGACCCAAGTAAGTTCTTAAACCATTCTCAACTAAAGAGGCATGTCAAGCTGGCATTGATACATGCCGGGCTGACTGACAGCCTCCCAGCTGGTCCCAATCAGGACAGACCATGCAGATAGCACTGCTGAAGCACTCTCACAATTGTCCTAGTTCCATAAGCAAAGCTGGCTTAGATGTGGTACACCAAAGATCAAAAGTAATGTGCTAGCAGCGCCACCTAGGGAGATTTCATAGCAAGCTAAGCACATGCGCTGCGGTCGCTATGCTTGGGAAAGGAGAAGTACTTCCAATGAGAGGTCTTTTCTACTCTTCCTTGTCAGTCAAATCATCCACATAGAGTATGAGTTTGATTGAGAAGTGGGAGAAAAAACAATTTTAAATAGGTTTTTCTGCCAAATTATACATTTTCTAGTAAAATTGCTCGCACGGTGTATAGATTAAATTGTATGCTCTTTCAAAAGTACATAACTAAAAATGAGTACAACAGTCAAAAGGGAGGAAATTTGATAACTATAGTTTTGCAGTAGTTTTACCCTGAAAACAAAATATAAAGGATGGAAATATTCTTACGAGGAGAAAACTGGATTTCCTAGGGTATTTTCCTACTAGAGTCACCATCGTAACTTCAAATTACTGTGGTTATGGTATAGAGACCATGTCCCTGCAGCTTTATTTATTTTATTTTTTTAATTAAATTTTTTTATTAAGTTGAAATCAACATGTACAGTTATGCAATATATGTGGTTATGCAGTAGATATAGTTATGCAATATATTCAGTTATGCAGTATATTTAGGTAGACACATATGCAATGTATTTAGGTAGCCGCTTTGGTTTGTATAGGTGGGTCAACAAGTGGGTCAACAAGTTAGGGCCGTTTACCAAAGGGAGTCTCTGTAAGCAACTGTTTTCGTTCAGTCCTTCCTCTCTGATAATGGCCGTGGTTCTGTGTGCTGGAGTCATTCTCTTCACTTTGAAACTGGATGGCTTGCTCTGTGTGTAGTTGTTCGCCATGAGACCTTCTGTTGTTTTGGGTCTCTTGGTGGGTGAGGGGGTTCCCCGTGTTGGGGACAGACCCACCTTTTGCAGGAAGGGCTCTGGATCATCTTCTGATGTCAGGGTCATACTCTCTCCCTCTATTTCTGTTAGGAGGGAACCCTCCACTCCCCAGCGGTATCTTATGCCTGAGTCTCGCATTTTCCTGGCTATAGGTGCCAGCTTTCTTTTCTCAGTGAGAACGGTGAATGGTATGTCAGGGAATATTGCCACCTTGTGTCCTTCATTGATGATTACCCCATTTCTCTGGGACGTGCAATGATAGCTGACCTTGTAGTTATATCCAGGGTCACTATAATGACGTCCCTGGGTGCTCCGCTTGGGGCTGCCGCCGATTTCCGCACCTGGAATGCAGATGTGAACCGTTGCCTGTCTTCAATGCCCCCCACGCCCATGTTTGCTATCAGCTTGTGGGCATAGGGCAGGAGATGCTCATCAGTCACTGATTCAGGGATCCCCCTGAGGCGGAGGTTTTTTCGCCGGTGCCTTGCCTTCATTGTGGTTACCGAGAGTCTCAGTTGTTGCACTTGAGAGGTAAGTTTTTCTAGGTGGGTGTCCCTGGCCTTTAGGGTATTTTCTCTGGCTGTCTCACGGTCTTCCAGTGCTTGGACTTTTTGGGGCACCTCCCCCACTTCTGCCTGGAGTTGCTTGAGGTCTGCTCCCCAGATTTTCCTAATTTCTGTTGGGAGTCTTTTAATGTCCCCCTTTGTGGAGGGCGTCTCGTCTTCCTCCGACTCAGATAGGCAGGATGGTGTTTCTGACCAGGGGGGAGGGTATGGATTCCTCTTCGTCCTGCGAGGCCTCAGATGCCGCATGTGTGCGGCGCGAATCGGGCGCCATCTTTATGGTCTGGGAGTTTGTCGGCCGCTCAAAGTAGAGTCTGATATCTGGCTGGCGTTTTTTCGCCACATTGTCTCTGTTGGGGAGATATCTGTTTTTCGGGCTGAATGTGTTTTTGTGGTTATTTGATAGGTAGTTTCTCAGGCCTGAGCGGAGCTCTGCTTAGAGATGTCTGCTCGGTATCGCTGGTAGCCACACCCACTGCAGCTTTATTTTAAACAATGATTTATTCTGGAAATAAATACCTAATCCCATATGTAGAACCTCCTACCCAGAATGTCAATCATCTAGCTGGAATACTCTCTTCCTGTATGGAAATATCAGTTTCATCTGGGGATTGAGAGTATCTTCCTGAATTTATAGTTCTGTCCTCCCCTCTCAGGTTTTTTCCATGATGACCCACATTTTAGGACAATGTGGAAATATTTCCAATCTGCAAACCACGAGCGCTCATATTGCCCAGAGAATCCTCAGGACAGTTAGACCATGAATAGAGTGCTTCAGGAGGCGTCTGCAAATAGTCTGCCTGGAGATGGACTGGGTAAAGTGTCTTTCTATCAGCTACCTGCACACCCCTTATAAGGCAGCCCGCTCAGCTGCCCAACCCACTTCCATATTTCCCGTTGCTGAAACACATACATTGGTTCTAGTTTATTAATTTCCAAGGTGCACTGGTCAGAGTAACAAAAACATTAGCCACTCTGCTGGGAATGTATGTGCCTTATGTTCATGTTCAGTGAGATTCAGGCTGAGGCTATTGCACCAAAGAAACTTTAGCTTAATTAAGTGGTTTTGGTGTATACATCATGCCCCTATGGTTTCAATGTTCAGTTATCTGGTATTTAATTAAGTCATTTTTTTTATGCATCCCCAGCCACATCCATACCAATACCTCCCAACAATTGGGATGTATGGACAGACCCCTGAGGGGGCTTCACCCGTGACATGACCTGCATTACTAGCAAAGCTCATAATGTGCGGTCCGACCAGAAAAGGCTTGGTCCTCAGTAAATCAATCATTTGCAAAGACTCCTGATGGTGACATCACCCCTGGGGATCGCGTGGGTCAGGGCAAAGTTTACTTACCAGAACCTGTTCTAAGCAAACCTCTTCTGCTCCTAGGCCTTCAGCACTAGGAGCCGACGTCATGCTGTACTCTTGTGCATGCGCGAGAGTATGGCATTGGGATACCTGCAGCAGGGGGATTGACACATCTTGACAGCAGTAGCTCCGCCCAGTGTCTAGAAGTGTCCGGCGTAGGAAAAATAGTGAGACAAAGTAGTCCTTAGTTTATCTCAGTATATTTCTTACTCCCCCCTCTTCTTACTCCCCCCTTAAAGTCTCCATTCCTTCAAAAAAATCATTAAAAACCCACTTCTTCATAAAAGCGTATCAATTAAACTGTCAATAACTCCTGACTGATTCCTCTTCTGCAACTGTCACTAGTCTAATACTATCCTTACCTTTTTGTGTCATTTTACCCCACTCCCTCTAGCATGTAAGCTCATTGAGCAGGGCCCTCAACCCCTCTGTTCCTGTGTGTCCAACTTGTCTGGTTACAACTACATGTCTGTTCGTCCACCCATTGTAAAGTGCTGCAGAATTTGACGGCGGTCTATAAATATCATAATAATAATATTTCTTCTTGACTGAAATTTTAATGAAATTTCAACACAGTCAATATGAATATTTCATAAATATTCTTTGTTTATGAAATACTCATTTTTGAAGGGGTTGGGGCAGAACAATATAATTTTAGCAATGATAAATTCTTATATATATATATAAACATTGCCTCCCTTCTGTATGTCTATCAGGTTTATTATTTCACCATATATTTTACATGTTGAGCACACTATCATTTCAGCAGGGTTATAACATATTTTTATTGACATCATACTCATTGAGAAATCTACAGTGCAGCTATGTGTGAGCTGGGCTCCATAATAACTAACATGGAGGGCTGTGTAAGGTGATTGCTGCATGTGGTTCTAATGTTATAATACAGTCTCAGCTCTGCAATAATGTATCACAGCCCGTGTTCCGGTCACATGTGCTGTGTAAACACCAGGCAGAACCCCCACCTTCTGGCTGACACAGGAAGCTCTGTCACTGCTTACTGACTGTACTGTGCAGACATGACTGGGACAAAGGGCCAGATAACCTGCTGTATGCTACTTCTATTATTTATCTGGATGGGAACTGCGAGTCAGCCAAGAGGTATAGAGCAACACACTGTCAGCCCATTAGCAGCACATTCCCAGGCTTGCCACAGTGTCTGTGTATTGGTATTGTGCCAGTATTGTATTCCTGGGGTTCTGCTATCCTACTCAGATGTGCAGTTGTTATAGTGATTTAGTCATAGAAAAATAAAATAATGTCTCTTACTATCAAATTGTGGGGGTTTATTCAATAAACAGTGAATTGAAAATCAGTTTGAATATCCACATTTTGGCCAAATTAGCCAAGTGTTAGAGGGACGCTGGGCAGCCTGCTGTAGTGGTTATGGTGTCAGGTGCCCCATGGTTAAGAGCCAGGCCATTTTTAGAATCAACAGATATTGCAGAAGTCCTTTTTTTTTTACTTTGCAGTACAAATTTTGGCCATATCCGGAATTAATTGGCAGAAAATTTCACCTGAGACTCTTATCTAATGACATCCAAAGATGGGCAGAAATGACACTTACCTGGGTTTGACTCTAAACAGTTGGACTTTGTTCTGGGACTCCTGGCACTATAGCCACTACTGCAGACTTTGGTGGTTATGGTGGTTAGAATGCCCATTTATAAAAAAAAAATTTTTAGAATGTATCCACTTAAAGAGATACTCTGGGTACCAATACTACTTTTATACATTTGATAGATTTTGGTGCCTGGAGTATCTCTTTAAGTGGAGAAATTCTCTAATTCTTGTTTTTTTAAAAATAAATTTTATTATTGTCATTGTATCAAGGTAACAGCATTAAGGCACGGAGGTAGACCCCCTTAAAGTGGTTGTTGTTTGCCAAATAAATGTACCTATGTTTTTTGGGGGGAACTGAACATGTTATGAACTGTCATTGGGTCAGGGGGTAAGGAAATGTGCAAGAGGTATACAAGTTTGTCAAATTCTGTTAGTAAAGTCTAGTGTCCCACCATATTTAGGCTTCACCAGCTACTATTGACTCTAAATCTTATAAGCATTGCAACTCACTATAGTAGTTATGGTACCAGGACACGTCAGTTTCTATTCCACGGTTCTATTTCAAAATGCTCGTGATTTGACACAAACCGAGTTCCCATGGCCCCAATCCCCTAATCAATATATTACTATTGCAGAAGCAAGTACCATTTCACATTCGCAACAATAATTTTGTTTTAAACTGAACATTATTCTTTAGCTAAATATGTCCATGCACTGTCAACGAATGCCATTCAAATATGAATTGAAGTTGTTATTGCTTAAAGGACCACTATAGGCACCCAGACCACTTCAGCTTAATGAAGTGGTATGGGTGCCAGAACCATCTAGGATTAACCCTGTCAGGAAGACAGCCACTAGAGGTTGGATTAACCCTGCTAAGTAAACATAGACGTTTCTCTGAAACTGCTATGTTTACATCTGAAGGGTTAAAACCTGAGGGACCTGGCACCCAGGCCACTTCATTGAGCTGAAGTGGTCTGGGTGACTATAGTGTCCCTTTAAGTATAACTTCTGCAAGAGCAATATACCAAGCAAGGGGCATCCTGGGGTCTCAAAAACAGTTTGACGTGACACAAATCTGGGAGCATCACCAAGGGCATGCTGACACCAAAATTACTATTGCAGACTATAGTGGTTTCATGCTTAGAGCAGGCCCTTAACCCCTTAAGGACCAAACTTCTGGAATAAAAGGGAACCATGACATGTTACACATGTCATGTGTCCTTAAGGGGTTAAAGGACCACTATAGTGCCAGGGAAACAAACTCGTTTTCCTGGCTCTATAGGGTCTTTAGGTCCCCCTCACCCTCCGGGTCCCACTCCCACTGGGTTGAAGGGGTTAAACACTTACCTTTGAGATTGTATCGCTAGCCTGAATTAGGTCTTCTATATTCTACATATTTGTAGGTATCAGATTACCTGTAAGTAGGTTGCTTGCCTTGTAATTTGTGTTTTTATTTTATAGAGGTTTTCCTATGGATGGCAAAATTTGCCTTGTTCACCTGTCTTCTCACGTTGTTGATATCGGTTCTGACTCCTTGGATTTCTTCCTTTCGTCAGTCCAGAGAGGAACATGTAGGTAAGATTTTGCAACACATCTGAATACTGTAATTAAGACGATTGGGCAAACCTTCAAAGGGAGTGTTGTCAGGGACACAACTTGCCACAGTGGCAACAGCCACAATGGGCGGGCTGCCTAGGAAGTAGGTATGTCTGCTCATTGGAGGGGCCATGCCAGCCTGGCCCCCATGCAGAGAGCAATGCTGAAGATTTCAGAGTACCCCTAACCAGGGCCGGCCTTAGGTGTTCAGGCGCCCTGTGCGAAACAATCTTGTGGCGCCCCCCCCCTCACCTGTCTCTGTTTGGACCCCTTCAAACTATTTTAGGAGCATTCACAATCTGTTGCCTCCACCCCCTTCTACAAAACCACTGCACCTCTTAACCAAAATCCCTGGCCAGATCTTCACCAAGCCCCTGGCCACCACTTCATCAAACTCCTGGCCACCCCTTCCCCTTCATCAATGCCCTGGCCATCCCTTCGTCAAACTCCTAGCCACCCCTTACCCTTCATCAATCCCCTCCCACCCCTTTATCAATTCCTGCCACCCCTTCATCAGTCCCCTGCCCCTCTCATCAATTCCCTCCCACCCTTTACTCAGCCCTCTGCCCCTATTCATCAGCCGCCTGACCCCCTAATCAATCCCCTCCCACCCCTTTAACAGCCCTCTGCCCCATTCATCAGTCCCCTGACCCCCTCACCAATCCCCTCCCCCTTTTATCAGCCCCCTGACCCCCTCATCAGTACCCTCCCACCCCTATCACCCACCTGCCCCCCTTTAATCAGTCCCATGCCCCCTTTTCAACCCCCTGCTCCCCTTCATCAGCCCCCTTAATACATCCCATGCCAAATAATCCAACCCCTGGCCACCCCTTCATCAGTCCCCTGCCCCCTCATCAATTTCCTCCCACCTATTTATCAGCCATCTGCCCCCTTTAATCAGCCCCATGCCCCCCTTTTCAGTTTCCTGCCACCCTTTATCAGCCCCCTTAATAAATCCCCTGCCAATTAATGCAATCCATGCCACCCCTTCATCAATCCCCTGCCCCCCTTAATTAAATTCCTGCACCTCTTCAACAAAACCTATTTAATAAAAAAGAAAAAAAAAGTCACTCACAGTAAAGGCTGCTGCTCCCTGGACTGAGCTGTCTCCGCCGATTGAAGAGCACCGGGTGCCGCCTTCACTCACTGAATTGGATCCTTCCGCGGCTCCCTCTGATGACAGAGCACGTCGACGTTACGCAAGTACGCGGCATAACGCCCCCACGCTCCTCCTCCACCCTCCATACAGAAGTGGATTCCCGGCGGCGGCTCTCTGCTCATAATTTGCAAGTCAAGTGCAAAGCAGTATTATGCACTTGACTTGCACTTTAAATACAGAACTCGGCCGGCCTGCGAGCTGTGTTGGCCGCCCGGCGCCCCTGTTGCCATGGCGCCCTGTGCGGCCGCACAGCTCGCACACCCCTAAGGCCGGCCCTGCCCCTAACTGTGGCAGTGAGTTGGTCTATAGACTGGCACAATCCAATAGGTTTTAAACCCCTGGATTATTAATTATTATTATTTATAAAGCGCCAACAAGTTCCATAGCGCTGTACAATGGGTGGACTAACAGACACGTATTTGTAACCAGACAATTTTGACTCACAGGAACAGCGATTGAGGGCCCTGCTCAATGAGATTACATGCTAGAGGGAGTGGGGTATAGTAACACAAAAGGTAAGGGTAGAAAATTAGGTTGCTAGGATAGTATTTATTGAGGGCTTAGTGTTTTGTTTTGATGACAGTTTCAGGAGAGGCATCAGGATGCGGGGAGAGAAAGCTGTTCACAGTTTAATTGATGTGCTTTCCTGAAGAAGTAATTTTTCAAAGATTATTTGAAGGAGTGGAGACTGGGTGAAAGTCTAACAGAGAGGGGAAGGGTGTTCCATAGGAATGGTGCAGCCCTAGAGAAGTGTTTAACGTGAGCGTCAGAGGTAGGAATACGAACAGAGGTTAGACGTAGGTCTCCGGCAGAGCGTAGGGGCCTAGATAATACATATTTGTGTAGGTCTGAGCAGCATTGTGTAGGTATTTATAAGCAAGTGTCAGGATCTTAAATGAATTAATGGATATTAACTATTAAGAAGATATGTCCCCTCCAACAGCATGGGAGTTTTTAAATCTCTCTGTAGTTAAAAGAGAGACCTATTGACCATCATATCCTTATATTTGATTAAACTGTTGAATGTGAGGGCTGACTAGCAAGTACTGGCTACCTGCCACATGGTTATCCCTGACTCCGCTGTGTTTTTGTTTAAAGGGAAACTCCAGTGCCAGGAAAACAATCCATTTTTCTTGGCACTGCAGGTCCCCTCTCCCTCCCTCCCACCACCCATCCCCCGGTAGCTGAAGGGATGAAAACCCCTTCAGGTAACTTACCTGAGACCCCGCCGATGTCCCTCGGCGGTGGTTTCTGCTTGCCGCCGCTCCTCCGAGTGATTCCGTCAGCTGGTGGGTGAGACTGATCTTGCCCGCCGGCTGAGGAGACCTAATGCAGTGTTTTCATTACAGCCTAGTGATAACTTCACTGGCCACTCCTTAGATGGCTGTTAGAGATCCTTCCTGGGTCATGGCTGCCTAAAATGCATCCAAACATTCAGTATCTTCTCCCTCTGCATGCAGACACTGAACTTGAACACATTGATTCAATTAATCTCTATGAGGAGATGCTGATTGGCCAGTGCTGTGTTTGAATTGTGCTGGCTCTGCCCCTAATCTGCCTCTTTGTCAGTCTCAGCCAATCCTATGGGGAAGCATTGTGATTGGATCAGGCTGCCACTTCTGCAGCAGGCAGTGGGCAGATCTAAAGGAAACAGGGACAAAATATGCAGCTGCAGACTTGAATACAAGTAAGTTTTACTATTTTTAGGGAGGCATGACGGGGCCAGGGGGACTAGATCGTGGTTTTAACCCTATAGGGTCAGGAATACATGTTTGTGTTCCTGACCCTATAGTGCTCCTTTAAATAAGAGAATCAGCCAACAGAAAGTGGCTTCTCATGTTGGTGGGGTATATTTAAATTCTGCCTATTTGCTGTTTTTTATATAAATATAATTTTAAAAAATTTAAATCTATGCAAAATTATAATCTAGGGTGCACTCACGGTTTTCCATTGACAAAATGTGATTTACTGTAATATAATTACATCTGAGGAAAAAAAAATTGTTTCGGCCCTGGCGGGTCTTTATTAAGATCTTAAAAATGACCTGCCAGAGTCGAACCTTCGATATTTTTTTATTTCTTTTTTCTCAGATGTAATTATATTACAATAAATCTAATTTTTTTTCACTGGAAGACCCGTAAGTGCACCCTTGATTATAATTTTGCTTGTATATGACGCAGGCGGAACCCGGGCAATTGTTTGTCTAAGTCCTGGAAAGGACAGTGCCAAGCTTCTACAATTTATTTATATATATATATGTAAATGAAACCTGCCAAGAATAGGGTACATTGACATTGTGGCAGGCAGATGCAATGTATGATCATATACTGTAACTAAACCCTCATTATTTTTTGCCTGCGTGAGGTGTTTTTTTAAATAAAACTATTCTAATATGAGACTTGAAGTTGCTGTTTAGTTAATGAGCGAGTGCGTGGAGTTTGCATGATATAAATATATTATTTCTTATCTGTGCTGTCTTTAACTTACTCGTTGCTAAGCCTGTTCTCCCTTGTTGCTTTGTTAGAATTCTCCGTACCAGAAGAAGAAAAGGACAAGCATCAAAAGCTTGTAAGAAGAGACCAGCAGGAGCAGTTAAGCCAAAAGGTAATTTAAGGTTTAATAGGAAAAATGTATCACTTAGACTAGGGATATATACTGTATAGTGCAAAAGACCATTTGATGCACAGAATTATATCTCACTCGTCATATTTTCCTGGCCTTTAGTTACAGCTTTCCATCAAGTTATTATTTCCTATCTAGTCAGCTGCGAGGAACATAACCCACAACCTTTTTAAAAAGGGGAACAATGGGGAGGGGGGGGCAGAGTCTGACCGCTGATCGGATCAGACATGCTTCGCCTGAGCTCCTGCAACTGAGCCAGAAAATCGGAGCTACCTGCTTGCAGCAAGCAGATACTGATCTAAATCGGTGATCATATTTCTCCTCAGCCGACGGTGAACTCAGGGATACCCTATAGGACCCCATACGGAATCGAAGTAACCTGATTGAGGCCCAAAGGACTACAAGAGCTCTCCACACCGGTGCTTTGCTGTCCCCACCCCAGTTCTCCGACCGGTGCTTTGCTGTCCCCACCCCCTCTGGACAGGCGGGGGTCATCCTGGTCCCCACGGGCAACCACCACTGCATACAGCTGCGCTTCAGCACTCGTCCTGCCGAGAATCATGGACCGGGTGGTGTACCCCAAGATGGCTGACTACCAATTGCCTTGTTCACTGTATGGTGTGGGGACCGAGTGGAGCACATGTGAACTTGGGCTACAACACATGGCAAAGGCGCACAAAAGCTTCTGTGACAAGTTCTCTGCCCACCTTGCGACGCCTAAAGCACCGGCTCCAGAGAATATGCGGAGACAAGAGAGGTGGGAGACGAGCGGGACCCCCCGGGGCGCTCCTCCCACAGTAATGCTACACCCTCACACAATGGGCCCACCCAGGCTGAAGACCGCCAGGGATACAATCCCGAAGCATCGGCCATCCATGCGGAGGATCCGATGCCGCAGGTTGTCGATTGTCCACCGTGATCCAAAGCTGTCCCTTGCAAGGGAAGAACTCTGCCTCCCATATGAGCAACCAGGTTCGTGGTCAAGAGGTGCAGGCCTTCATGACGGCCAGGGGCTATGGGGAGGACATACCTGGACTCTGCCTGTTGTCATCACGCCACCCCCTAAGCCTGTTAGCGAGCCGGGACTTTGCACCCTGAATGCGCAGAAAGCTGGCGAGACTGCCCACAAGTTGGACTATCTACCTGAAATCGGAATGCCTGTCAGTTTCTCTATTCCTGCGCATGATTTTGCTCACAGGGAGCTCGGATACCTGTGTCTTGGTGACTTGGTATAGCGTATATGTTTAAGTGTTTGAATGAGGATGGGCACCTGAAATGGCAGCTTGCCGATGCATGATTTGTCTGTTAGCAGATATGAAACATCACATGGCAGATGCACACGCGAGGTATACACCTGGCATAGACAAACACCAGCTCAGAAGGGCACATACATACTCGCCGCACCCACCGTCATAGCTGTATTGGGGACACAGGGCCCGATTAATGTTACACACCAGCGTATGCTGTGAGGTGAAAACTGTGGCTTCTTAAGCCCATTACTCTACCATGTTATAAATGCAATTAGCACGCACCCGCACATATCTAGCCTGCAATACTTAGTTCATCGCTTGTACCAGCTTTTTCGTACACCCGAGGACACCAGGCATGATATATTGTGTTTAATAATACACTGTTCAGGCATACCTTGCTAGTTTAAACGTGCACCATCATAACAAAGTGGCTGACTCGCTTAGGAGTTTCTCATGTTTAAAGTTATTGTACACGTCTCTTTTCTCTCTGCTTTAACTCCTTTCATACCTTGTTTCTAATATTATAAAATTGTGCATGTCTACTTTATTACCCCAATTATAATGCGTGATGCTTGGCTTGAGGATTGCCGTTGGGATACCTCAAACTTGTCTGTTATCTCTTATGCACTGCAAAAATACAAAATTTAAAAAAGGGGAACAATCGCTTTCCAGATTTTTTTTTTATACTATTCCTACATTTAACAATCTGTGCTTGTAAGATGTGAAAAATAGGATACTATGGGCACTCAGATAAATTCAGCTCATTGGGTGCTGTGTCCCAGGACCCTTAACCCTGCTAAGGTAATTAACGCAGTTTTTGAGAATCGGCAATAATTACCTTGCAGGGTTAACTCCACCTCTAGTGGCTGTTTACCAGTCAGCCACAAAAGGGGCTTGCGGGTCGTTGGATGACTTTTGGTCGTCTAAATGAAGCTGAATGTCTTCACACTATGCATGAGGACATCCAGTGTCACCAGAACCCCAATCGGAAAGGGAGGCCGTGCTGCGAGGGGAAGTGGGGCGTGCACCGAGGGAGGGGGGCACTGTAGAGAGCTATATTGTCAGGAAAGCACTATAGCATATAACACTGGCACTTCCCTTTTAAATTCTGCAGTTGAATGCCTCCATCTTAGGTCCCTCCTGGAGGTTGTTAGAAGCTCTGCTGTTTGCACCTGGCAATCAGCATAGATAAATCATCTAATTTTTATTTTACTTTGTGTTGGTTGTTCAATATAAAAATATAAAATAAAGTGTAGAAATCCACACTTCTTTATCCTGTAGATGGCATCTCCAACGTCACCTTCTACCAATCATTGTTATAAGCCCTGGAAGTCAACTGGATAGTGATGTAATTTGCTAAATCATTCATGTAATTTTGAAGAAAGCAAAGTATTGCTAATGGGCGATGTTCAATATTTTTGTTTTCAAGAGAGGTTTATGGGGGTTGTTCACTAAAGGACTATTTCTGCTGGTCAAGGTTATAAAAATAATCTGGAACCATGCAAGGGCTTTCCAGCTGCAAAATCTGGATGTTGATCACAGTATTTATCAATGTCCCGATTCTCATTACTGACTCCAAATCAACATGAATGTAGTCCAGATTTACATTCTGTTAAAAAGTAATCCTTCCAGAGTGTGTTGGGAACTGCACTCACTCCCATCAATCTGAGCCAGGGTGCTTAGCTGTACCAGAACACCAGATTCCCATAAAAGTAGTATAGTAAAGGAAAGAGGTCCAGGTACTCCTTGGTTCAAAATAGGTAATTTATTAGAACCACAGCAACGTTTCGACCTTCTCTGTCTTTTTCAAGCCAAGCTAGCCTTCTTTGCAGGCAGATGGTGGGCAATTCTAATTCAAACAAATATTACAAGTCTGCAATTATCACCATTATGATGTGGTTCACTTGAGTAAAAGGTCAAATGTATGGAGCAGTCCAGAATACCCCAATTATAAAAACCAAGTTACTAAAATGTATATCATATCAATACTTTATATTATTATTTTTTTTTTTAAATATATTATTAATGGCTTTTTTCCAGCCTCTAAGGCCACTTCTGCTTTTAGAAGTGGTCATGGATTAAAACACTTGCATGTGCAGGATTTCTGATTTAAGCTCTGTTCCAGGCTGCGTAATTTTTGGTCTTGTGCAAAAATAACACTACAAGCTGGTGCCAGATGTAATCAGCTTCTGCTTGTAGTTTGTGTGTACTCTCCCCTCCTCATTAAATTTTATTCATATGCCCTTTTATGTGTTTTAAAAGCCCACCCTTTGTCCACCCCACACTCCCTTCCTCCCTACTCTCTTCAGCTCAGAGTAAGCGCATGCACTCTGAGCCAGAAGATCTGTCCAATCAAATGCTTCTCTGTGAAAAAGCATTTGATTGGACCTCAGAGAGGGAAGACATGACCCTGCATGACGAAGGACAAGGGCGTGGCAATGCTCCAGGAGAACCTCGCCCAGTGTTGGATTTAAGGTAAGTTTAATTCTGTTTTATAGACTCTGTAATTAGAAAAGGGGTGGACAAAGCTACTTGTGCCTAGTAAGGGTAATATACATTTAATAAAAAAATGTTATGGTGAAAAAGGGTTGGACACTGTAGACACCCAGCTCACTTCAGCTAATTGAAGTGGTCTGGGTGCTGTGCACTTAGTGCTGCAATGTAAAACATACCAGACAGCCACTGGGGGTGCTTCCGGAATCCAAATGGACTTTTGATCCGTTATCTGATGCTGGATGTCCACACGCTCTGCATGAGGACCTCCAGCGTCAGATTTTTCCCATAGGCAAGCATTGAATAATGTTTTCCTATGGGGAGATCTAATGTGCACGCAGCCATTGCCGCGCATGCGTATTAGGTCTCCCCCGCCAGCTGATGTCGGCTGGGGAGCAGCGTGGGCGGAGCCTGACCCAGCGCCGAGGGACATTCAGTCCCTGGATTCAGGTGAGTGGCTGAAGGGGTTTTAACCTAAAACGGCTTTGTTTTCCTGGCATTATAGGATGCATTTACTTTTTATTATATATTAAGTCTGTGCCCACTGGCTGACTGCACTGCCACTGGGCAAATACAACAGACCTCTGAACTCTGAATTTTTACCTTTAAAAATCAAGTTCATTTATTTATCAAAATGGACTGTTAACAAATTTGTTCTGAGTGTAAATGTCAATTCTAATGGCAAAATTGTCCTTTCTTCCCTTTTTAATTGACGTCATGGCTGTTCTCTGTCATCTTTAGGCAAGTTATTACATTGAGAACTTTATGAAGCCACGTGAGGAATTAAAACTTAAAAGGAAGATGGAACATTACTACAAGATGACGGGCCAGAGCTGGAAACTGACTGAAGGGCAAAGACTAGGGGTATTGTAAGAAACAATTTAAATGTAACATGCAACTGGAGGAAACAACTGCCTCCATTAAAGGGACAATCCACTGCCCAAATACAAAATAATTAAAAATCACCGTTTAGTAGATGAATGAAATGAAAACTTGCATGCATTTAATTATCTATTTTCTCAATGGGGATATATCTAAAAACAGCTTGCAAAACCTGCAGTTCTCTTGTCTGCTGCCTTTGCCATCCCTCCCCTTCTAACCCCGCCCAGACTTTATGTGGCTGTCCAATCACAGACATCCCAATACAGCTCAATAAGAAGTCTTTGTAAGTCAGGTGCTCTGGGCAATTGCTGCCTCTTGAGGTCAGCTGTATTGAGCTAACAAAACCAGGAAGTAACATTATCTCTTGTCTGCTTGAAAGCCAAGGGGTTGTAACTGGGTTAATTTATCAAAGTGTCAATTTGTATTTGAATCTGCACTTTTTGCAAAATGAAAAAAGAAGACACATTTTTCACACACAAAGCTTTTCAGCAAGCTAAAGTTGTTTTGGGTCCTGGAGCGACCCTTTAATTCAGCTTATCTCGTAATAGAGAGAAGAACTTGGGAGATAGAATAGTTTTGATCTACTACGAATTATAATGCATGATGTGAGTGAAACTGTGCAGTATAAGGTTTCTGATCGGTGGCAAACCCCACCACATACACATCAAAATAGCAACTATTCTTAATTCTGTTCTTCTTCTGTTAAAGGAACACTCCAAGCATAAAAGAACTGTAGTGGCTATGGTGCAGGACTATCCAGGCCCCCCTTTATTTTAAGTTTTCGAAAGGTTTGACTTCTCACCTGGGGTCACAGGGTGCTGATCATCACCTCAACTACTGATGATGGAGCGCAGAGAGCTCCTTAGCAGGAGCTTTAGTTAGCTGTCCTGGTCTAAGACAGGGCTTGATCATTGGCTTAGAGCCATGCTGTAGTGGTTATGGTTCCTTTAATTATATTCTGGAATTGGAGCTGGGGAGTGAAACAGCGAAACTATCCACTTCTCTACCAGTGTATTATTAAGGGAGAGGGGCTATATCAAGGATAACAACCACAAAAAGCAGTCTAACATGCTAAGAAAAAAAACATCACGTTATATACATGATCCTTGATGGTTAGACATGTGTTATGTTGTAAAATAATGCTGTCTTGGGGTGTCCACAACCTCTCAATGTAGTTTCTTTTTGTTGATTTTTTTTTTCTCAATAGACACTTTTTTTTTAATTTCTACATACACACAACAAAGAGCTCAATATAAATGGATAACTATTGGGTCTTAAAGATAATTTTTTGTATCCAGGCAGACGAAGAAGACGATGCCATGAATATCGATAGTGATGGAGACGGCAGTATTGCAAAAACGCCAAATCAAGAAGCCTTAAGGAAAAGAAAACTCCCAGAGCATGTAAAAATGCACATCCCAAAACCCGAGCAGCCGAAACCGAAGAAGGTATTACATGTTTCATTCAAGCTGCTATTGTCAGTGTGTTGGATGAGTTTGGATCCACATTTTGGTATATTCCTTTTGTTTATTTCTTGAAAACCAGAAGTAATGAACATCATATGCCTATGTACTTTGACATGCAAATGGTTAGATCATCTATGTGAATATCTAAATCTGAATATCTCTTTATCTCAATAATTGAACTATTGACAGGTCATTACTCTGCCTGAAGAACCTAACGAACTGGAAGAGGGAGTAAGTAATTTATCCTTAAGTTTTTGTGTTCGACATGTTATGAAGTTGTGTGTTTTTGTTTTTTGTTTTTTTTACATACTATGAAGTTACTTTTTTCCCCGGCATACTATGAAGTTAAATGTTTTAAATCTTAAAGGGACACTATAGTCACCCAGACCACTTCAGCTCAATGAAGTGGTCTGGGTGCCAGGCCCTCCAGGTTTTAACCCTTCAGATGTAATCATAGCAGTGTTTACATTGCAGGGTTAAACCAGCCTCTAGTGGCTGTCTTCCTGACAGCCGCTAGAGGCGCTTCTGTGACGCTGAATGCGAAAATCGCATTGAGCACGCAGAACGTGCATAGGAAAGCATTGAGAAATGCTTTCCTATGGGCGTTTTTAATGCGCGCGCAGCTCTGGTCGCGCATGCGCATTCCACTCCACTCGGGAGCTGACTTCAGAGTGGGAGGAGAGGTCACCAGCGCCAAGGGAGCCCGGCGCTGGATTAAAGTGAGTAACTGAGGGGGTTTTAACCCTTCAGCGCCAAGGGAGGGGGGAACTGAGTGGGGGGGGGACCTAAGGGTTATATAGTGTTAGGAAAACTAGTTTGTTTTCCTGACACTATAGTGATACTTTAAGTAGCTTGGTGCTATCTATGCAGTGCTACATAATTATGTTCTGTTTAATCAATTAAGCTGATGTAATACTAATTTTAAATACTATTTTAAAAGCATATCCCTTTATATCACAATATTTAGTTGTTCTGATGTTTAAACATTTCAGTTAAAAATAATCATCAAATAATTTTTCTTAATTCACAATTTAGTTCATATAATAAACATAAAGGTTACTGAAAGAAAAATATTTTATTATATTTTTTGTTGACCACTTGTGTACAACAAAGAATAGATAAGATTTTAATCCATGTTTAAAATGGAATGAGGCAAAAATGTGATTCTTTGTTAACTAATTTGCATATGCCCACCCGGAATCCTTTGCGGTTGTGACATCACTGCTGATTTGGGATTTCTGTGGGAAAAGCAAGTCTTATGGCTTGACTGATGTGCAGATTTTTGTTTAACATTGCATTAACTATCCACAGGCTTCAGGTGGAAGAGGTTTTCAATCACATTTTTCCCCCACCATAGCCTTTTTGACTATTTTGATTAGCTTTCATTTTATTTTTATGCACACAGCCGTGAGCCGTACCACTAGAAATATTGTCGTTTGATTAGTCTGTTTCTCATTAGCTTTACCATATTTTTCCAGGCCTGCCATAGTCAGTGTTAACATAAAAAGGGAAAAAAAGTTCAGAATATTGTGTGTTTTACAGTGTTTTGTTGTTGTCTTCTTTGTGTACCCTGATGACTTCTCAATGAAAGAAACAGATCAAATTCGTATCTTGTAAAACCTTTTTTATTGGACTAACAGAATTTTGTAATGACAAGCTTTCGGGAGAACCTCTCTTTCTCAAGTATTAGAAAAATTCCCAAGTTCAGCTTAGTTTTCAGTTCTGCTTTTTTGACCTAAAATGTGGAATTCACTCAATTCTCACTTTAGTTAACCTAACACAAATATGTTGGTGGAAGCCCGTAGTTCATTCATTGTACCAGCTGTATGTTAGCCAAGGTTACTTGTTGTATGTACAGGACTTTATCATTTTCAAATTTATACGTGGACGCCTACTTTTGATGCAGACCAGCCAAAGTAGTAATTGCACAGATTGCCTCTACAGTGTAACCAACCAACTTTGTTTTATTTGTACTCAGGTAGTGACGGTGGCTTTGAGGTGTCCCAGTGGGCGTGTTTTTAAAAGAAGGTTTTACAAAATCTGCAGTTCCCATGTAAGTACAACTCGGACGTTTTTTTAGTTTAGATTTGTTTTAATTGAATTTTACAATTAGCCTGACTTTTCCAGGCAGGATTTCAACTTGCTACAATTCAAAATGTTGTGAATTGCCCTGTATATCACTCAATGTAGTCTTTGTTCACTGTTGTTTTATATAAAACTGTTTTAGAGCAGTGGGATGGCAGTTATAGGCTAGAGTGCTGGACTCAGCCGTCCTCAACTTGGGTTTAGATGGCCATCTGAGGTTGTATAGATATTGTGAAATTTCAGCTGATAATGAGGAATGTAACGGAACCGCTGGCACCCTGACCAGGTACCTTCTGTTGATGGATGCTCCTAGTGCTTTCCAAGGACTCCAAGCACTCCGCCAGACACCATAACCACTGTAGACTCCCACGAACCACCACAGCTTGGTTGGGGTCTCGCCGTCTCCACCCACTCTGGACCCAAGACCAGGGTCCAGCTTCCAGTAGGTCAACCTCTCCGAATTCCAGAGAGCAGGAACAGGAACAAGCTCTTAGCAGAGCTTAGTGATTATACCCTGGGGAGTATAGTGATTATAGCAATCCCCAGAGTGTAGTTCTCCAATCCCCCAAACATGAGCCGAAACTTCATGAAGGTACAAGATGATTTCAATCCAATGAGCGTTTATTACTCCTTATATACAAGTTTTCAGGCCAGAGGCACACCCCCTGGACCTGGTGGTAAACTGTGACAAAAGGGACACAAACCAATGGGAACACTAATTAACACAATAACACTCCCACATACACAATGAAATCCCTCCTCTAATTGGCACTGCAGTAAACTCAATTATCTCCAGGTACAGAAAATATCTACATTTTTACACTAACAGCAAAAATACGTAAAAGTACATAAAAATACATAATTCTTATTATATTACACATACTTTTTCCACCTGCACTGTGAATGTTTACATGGTGTGTTCAATAAAAACATGGCAACATTTCATTCTTTGTGTGTTATTAGTTTAAGCAGACTGTGATTGTCTATTGTTGTGACTTAGATGATGATCAGATCACATTTTATGACCAATTTGTGCAGAAATCCATATCATTCCAAAGGGTTCACATACTTTTTCTTGCAACTGTATATGGAATGCCACAACAATTAATAAAACCTGTGGCACGTCGCTTAAACAGCCCGGGCTTGAAGATTAAGTGCTACTGTAGTGTCATCATCAGGAAGACCTAGCAATAGCAATTGAGAACCCTGGAGGGACTGAAAGTAAATTTAGCTATGATTTGGGCCGATGGGCAATTTACCTCTTATTCCCTAAATGCAGTTCCACTGTCCCTAGTTGTGGGTATGGTAACGTCTATGATGAGTAAGTCAGGGAACCCACGTGTCTTGTATAATATTTAGAACATCACAAAAGTTGCGTAAGGAGCGTAATATGGAATACCTATGGATGCAATAAATGCACTGTAACATATGTGTATCAGGCTGGGAGCGATATAGTGAAATAAGGAGAATAACGTTCCTAATGCGAAAATATGTCTGATCGTAATTATTCGTATGAAGGAGAGATACGTGTAAAGGACCTAAATGATATGCACGTAACGAAATTAGCCTTAAAGGGACACTATATAGTCACCAAAACAACTTTAGCTTAATGAAGCAGTTTTTGTGTATAGATCATGACTCTTTTTAGTTTCACTGCTCAAGTCTCTGCCATTAGGAGTTGAATCACTTTTGCTTCTGTTCATGCAGCCCTAGACACACCTCCCCTGGCTGTGACTGACACAGCATGCAAAATGGTTTCACTTTTTAATCAGATGTAACTTATTTTAAAAGTTTTTATCTCCTGCTCTGTAAATTGAACTTGGATCACACACAGGACACCCCTGCAGGGTCTTGCAAGCTATTAACATAGCAGGAGATAAGACAGTTGAACAGTAAGACTTCAGGTGCATGATTTATACACCAAGACGGCTTCTTTAAGGTAAATTTAGTTTTGGTGACTATACTGCCGCTTTAATGCTGTTCCAGCTCCAATTTTTTTAGGAATCATGCCTATAATTCATTAATAGCAGTCATAAATTTATGTGTAAGCAATATATTTAAATGACGTAACTAAAATTGTTATAAGAGGGTAAGAATCGGGTGTCTACTGCCGATACGTATTTAATTGTAACAGCAGTGTTCATGCTGACTTGCCTTTAGTGTGCGTATATGCACTACGAGTGTGCATGTACAAATTGTTCTACAAGTGTAAAGGCATGGGCCAAACATAAGGCTGATTTAAAATGAGCCAAGAAAATGTATGAACCGGTTCCGCAGTTCCTCCCCAGAAGTTATGGCCTAATGGCGAAATGAAATAAATTTTATATAAACAGTATAAGAATATACCTTGCACACTTGCCAAACTTTTTTTGTTTGTGCTGGATGCTAAATATTGTCCTTTAAATACAATGCAGCAAAAATATGTATCTGCACTCACGATCTTGTAGAAAGGTCAATCTTTATTCCTAGACATAGAAATGATCTGCCACTCAGGCATATGCTATTGTGGATGGGTTCTCTTTTTATTACTGGGACATTCTGAGATGTCACCAAAGCTATCAGAGGAAGCTTGTAATGTATATTGAATGTTCAAGAATCATTCGGGTAAAGATTGGGAAGTGATTTAAGATGAATGGTTTTTTTAAGTCATTGTGAATTTTGTTTTCTTTTGGATTGGCAGCATAAAAAGTTGAACTCAATGGATTTGAGTCTTTCCTAACCTAGATTGCAATATAATCTACTGACCATGCTGCTCTTTCCATAGTTAAAATAAGAACTGTTCATTACAAATAAATGAAACACTCATCCACGTGGTTGTCAAGAATGATCACCAATTATTAAAATATTTCCACCTCATGTTGTGCTTCATTGTTCATATGGGCATACGACTTTGGTTCCTCTGCTGCTCCTACATCAGTGATCTATGGAGAGCACTGGGCTTACCCACTTCCAATGCTCTCAGCTTATCATTGCTTTTCAAATTTGGACAGACAAATGCAGAATTCAAGCTTAACTAAGCCATAAGCACCAGAAAAAGTCCCAGTTTTTATTAAACCAGTGAAGTGGTTTGGTAGAATTCCAAACTGTTCCAGCTCACTGTAGTAGTAACACTACAAAGACTGCCCCTTTCGTTTTAATAATGACCTAATGATTTGCAATAAGCAAGTAATTGTTTATTCTGTGTTATAAAAAAAATATTGGGTGTATCGGGTTTTTTTTTTCCCTCTCGTGTTTTTCAATTTCACAGCAGATGTTTGTTTTTGCAGGTGTTATTGGATTGGATGACGAAACTTGGGTACCACTCTGTTCTTTATACCCTCTACTCCTCTTCTCCAAGATGTCACATAGAACTTAACACTGAATTATCAATAGAAAGCATCGGCATTGTAAAGGACACACTATTAAATGTGGAACAAATCCATCAACCATAATTCTGGATCAGTGAAGACTGAGTCAAATATCCTATGGTTAATGCCAACAGTCACAAAACTGAAAGCACTTTTGTTTTTTCCTTCAATGACTGAAAGTTCTGATTAATTACATGATGGAAGACTGGGAGCTTTTCAACTGGGAAAATTATTTATGTCCGTTGTTGGGATGTGCAATAGGAGTTCTATGCAAACACCAGCTGTTGATAATTGATGTCTGCCAATTATTTGTACCAACACAAGGACATGTTTTTATAATGTTCCAGCACATTTATGTATGATGTGTTTTTCATGCAGAACAGAAGTTAAAATAAAACTGGAACAATTCACAACATGAAGTCTGGCTATATGGATGCTTTATTAATATATATTCCATTATGCCAAGAAGGATGTATTCTGTATCATTCGTCATGGTTTTTATTAACTAAATAGTTGATAGTGAAGAACTCATGACATTAGCAAAACTTTGGGTAGAATAGGGGAGATTAGAAGAAAGAGGGGGGGGGGGAGGGGGGGGAACAACATAAGCTAGGTCTATTTCCTACCTTAATGAAACAAACATGTATTCCTGCCCTTATGTTAAAACTAAACTTTAGGTGACTTGCCCCCTTAGGAATGGTTAAAACATACCTTATTTCCAGCTCTGCTGCCCTTGCCAATCAGCTCTCCTCAAAGATACATTGAATCAATGCATCTCTGAGGAAAGTTCAACGTCTCCTTCCAGAGTGTAGAGACACTGAATGGCACTGCCCCAGGAAGCACCTCTAGTAGCCATCTGGGGAATGGCCAGTAGAGGTATCCCTAGGCTGTAATATAAACACTGCCTTTTCTCTCAAAAGACTGTTTGGAGTGGGGTGGGGGGAGTCTGCAGGGGCTGATTCTACTCACCAGAACAAGTACAATAAGCTGTAGTTCTGGTAACTATAGTGTCCCTTTAACTATTTAGGCCCCAGTTTAAAAATAAATCAATCAATAAGTCTTTATTTTGCTTTAATTGACAGATCTACAAAACCCAAATCTAATTAATGCCGTAGAATTTGCATAGATGGTTTAAATGGAGAATTCCCCTAACATTTAACTCACTATGTAGATGAATGCATGAAGACGTAAAAAAAAAAATTGGTCAGCTTGCCAAAGGAAGCAGGAACGTTAATGCTGTGCACTAAACATAAAATATACATATTACACACGCACATAGAAGGGGGCATGTTTGCAAAAAAGAAAGGTTATGGTACTTGAATCATCCCTTCATAAAACAGAAAATGTGTGTACTATTAATGTGATTAGCTGTTAATTATAACCTCACTTTGTGTTCTCTAAGATTTCCTCCCCTCGCCCCCCAATGCAATTTCTCCAAATCCTATCTGGGAATCTGCAGCTGGTAACGCTATTTTTGGTATTATCTGGCTTGGAATGTTTATTTTTGGGATTCCAAATATGCTTCTGTGAACCTGATCACTGCAAGAGCATGTGATTTCATGTGACACACTGAAAATACTACAGAAAAAAATAGCTGTGCACAAAAAAAACTAATTGGTTTCCCTTACGAATAGTCAGGTTCTTTAAAGCCGAGAAAGAAGAGGTACAAGGATCATAGAAAACTTAGTGATTATTCGATCAAATTGGAGGATTTTGGTTGTCTCTCTCACAGCTGAACAATTTATGGCAGTGATGCAGTCGTGGAAAATATTGTACTTAGTGGACCATTTCTCTGTGCACACTTCTGCTTGTGAGGAGAGATGGAAAAGAGATACCTACCTGAACCTTGTTCTGTCCTCGGTGCTACCACCACCTTCTTTGGCCTGGCTATGCTCCTGTAGGCTAGTTCTGCCAGAAGATTTCATATTGCCATGCAGGTACACGGCAAACTGAGGGTCCAAGGCAAGACTGTGGGCTACTATAGGTGATCTGCCACATGTGCCATAAGATTCCATAGCCATCTTTTGCACTTTATGAAAGATGTGTATTCACATCAACTGTCATAATGTGAAAATGGACATTGCAACACATGGCAATATAAATGGTTTATTTTGCTACATTTTGACAAAAAAAAAAAATACATACACAGGTTTATTCAGTAAAGTGAGAATTGCTTGAAATTCAAAGTGAGTTTTAAATTTAAAGGGGCCTCTAGAGAACTATAGCTGGCTGAAATGTTGTGTGTGTGTGTAAAGAGTGTTCTTTCCAGTTTTCAAAAGAAATTGGATCTTTTTGAATAAACCTTGTTACAACTCCCTAGCTGTCAGACATTGTCTTGTTACTTCCTGGTTTGATCTGATCAGTTGAGCTAAATTCAAGAGGCAGCAATTGCTCAGATAACCTGCCTTGTAAAGACTTGTGATTAAACAGCATTGGGAAGTCTGTGATTGGACAGCCATAGAAGGTCTGGGTGGGGTTCGAAGAGGAGGGTTTGCACAGGGTTTCGGACAAGAGATGTGCAGGTTTTGCAAGCTGTTTTTAGATATACCCCAAATTAAATAAATGCTTTTCTTTTTTTACATTTGGGAAGTGGAGTGTCTGTTTAAGGCCAAAATAGCCAAACTGGCAGCACAACAGATTTAGATGATATTTCCAATTTCGTGGAGAAGCCATTAAAAAAAAAATGGAATAGTCTTAAAGAAAGTGAAGCTGCAGTATACCTACAAACTATTTAAACTGCAGGTCTGATTCTTGTATGCTCAACTCAGCCATCATTCTATCAGATGGGTAGCAATAACACCAGGGTTTACTTGCAAAATGATGAAAGCTAAAAAGGTTATTTACTAAATTGAGAATACAAAGTGGAATTTAAATTTAAGGCCAGAGTAACCAAAATGAAAACACGACAGAGCAGGCTTCCTCAAACTCAGGCCCTCCAGATGTTGCTGTACTACAACTCCCATGATTCTCAGCCCATTATTTAATTCATAGAATCATGGGAGTTGTAGTTCAGCAACATCTGGAGGGCCAGAGTTTGGGGAAGCCTGACTTAAAGTGACACTATATAGTCACCTGAGCAACAGGGGCCAGGTCAACGACTGTAAAGACCCATCTAATATCATGGGGACTTAAAGTTGGGATTCGACCCAGGGGTTAAAACCCCCAGCTTTAGACCATAATCGTAAACAATGTAACAATAACAATCCTGATCAGATTGTACTTTGCCATTATTAAAGAAAATTGCTGACACATACAGGACGTCTACAATTGAAAGTTTATTTGTTCAAATACATCAAAGGAGCGGCAAGCACTTTCTTGACAAATATACAGAAAAAAGTACATTACTTTATGTTATGGCATACACGCGGTAAGGTCAGACTTCTCCAGTTTATGTTTTTTGTACTTTTGAAAGAAAAGGAAAAAATAAAAATACAGTGTATGGTTAGCGTTTGCATTTTCTTAAAAAGAAATCCAAATGGAATCCGTCATGCCGGCTGAACACTACAACTAAAATTTACAAAAGTAGGTGCAAAGGGGAATAAAGGTCTTGCAAGTTACCCTTTACTGACTGAACAGTTCAGAAGGAAACATGACTTACAAATACAGCAGGCAGACTGACTAATGGACTGGCTATGAGAGTCTGGGTTTTCAATCGCAGTCTCAAATTGTGCTAAATGCTTCATCAACAGTATGGCACATTTTGGTCCGTGATGTTTCCTTAGCCTTTTCTTGAAGGAGTGAGGGGACATTTGAGTAAATGGGTTGTGTGTTTTAGGCATGGGCAGAAAAGGGCGAGGTAAGCAGATTCCAATTTTAAGTTACCATTTCCTCTTTTGTGTGTGTGTGTGTGTGTGTGTATGTCTACATACATACACATTGTGTGTGTTTAAATGCCAAGTATAATTGCACAGATGAAGGCAATATGTAAGGATTGCTTAAAGGAAATAATCAGGAGTGCGTCGAGTAACATGCGGCTCCCCACGGCGAGGAGCAGGGTCAAACTGAAGGCTGCAGAGAGAGGAGGAGAAAAAAATAAAAAAAAAGTCAGGTTGTGATAGGATTTGAAATTAATCAAACATTTCAAAAGATTTCCATATGTAAAGGGTTAAAGATTTATTTTTTCGTTTGGGAAATGCTCCCCTCATTAAAATATGAAAGTCTTCGTTTAGCTTACTTTGCACAGAGACTAAAGCATATTTACATTAGTTTATCTAATGTATATGTTCACCTACGTTGAATCAAAGATTAATCAATTCTTATCCTGTTTAGGCAATTCTGTGGGAAATCACTAATTTGTAGCACAATTATTTATGAGTTCAATAATTCTCTCCTTTATATAAATGAAACATTCGTAAAAATGTAGTGGAGGGAAAAAAAACTGCAATTTTCAAGTCCAGTCAACAGATGGCACTCTACTACTATATTCCCCTAAACCAAAATTATCCAATTTTTTAAAGGGATATTAAGTCGGATAATTCGGATTCAGACCATTTACAAACAAACCACATTTTCAGAAAAGATTCGCTACACTACTGCCAGGAATTTTATTTGGACGAATAATTTTTGCATGTCTTAACATTAACAAAATATTTCTAAATGTATTAAGCGCCAACAAATTCCGTAGCGCTGTACAATGAGTGGGTACTAAGTACATATTTCTGAAGGACAAAGACAAAACAAAAAATGTTGAAGGATCACTTCTAACCTCTAAAGCACTTCTATTCTTTTTAACAAAAATCTCAAAAACACACACACACATTTAAGATGACTTTCTATTGTATTTCCATAAATGCATGAAATAATCTTATATTGTTCTTTGTTTTGGTACCTGAACCCTAATGAACACACACACACACAGAGTACGTATTCTCTAATTCTGCTAATTCCTGATAAAGAACAAGGTTTAAAAATGGAAACAGGAGCATACTACCACCACATATCCACCAACAGTCTAGTTTAAAATACTGAAGCCAACACATACTTTATAGGATGCAGAGGGGTGTTACAGTGCCATAAATCCAAAACACACAAAATGTCATACAGTACATTTTATGGTAACAATTTGGACAATATACTTACAAGGAATATTTAAGAGTGTCATCCAACTCCATTATAGCTGCCTGATTTCCACACCGATAACAATAATTAGGTGCACTGAAAATAGTAACCACATTCCTGTCGTGACACCAATTATAGCCCTGTGAACCAAACATTTAAACGGTTAGATACTAGGCTGTAGTTGCTATCTTAACTCATCCCTCTCCTAATAAAAGATATGGCAGGAAAGGAGCTCTTTCATTTACAGGGTTTTCAATAAACATATGCTACCAGTCAAAATGATGTTAACACTTCCATTTATCCAGTTTTTACAGAAAATTAAACAAGTCAAGTCCAGTGGATAACCCGAATATAAAGGTAAAGCGGTAAACTGCTAGAGGTTTAAGAAGTTCAGCTCACCAAAAACTGAAAATCAAAGCACATGTCAGATCGAAATATATGCCTTTTTCCAGGAACAAGTAAAGGGATAACCTCTAGCTGTACTGCAGGAAGTAGATTAGTCCTTGAATGACGATATTCCTGGGGTGCCCACTTACTGTATAAAACCTTTATTGGAGGTGGAATTTTACCTTCAGGGCAAGCAGACGTGTAAGCAGTTTGAAGGTGTTTTCATCAATCCTTTCTGAAGCTGGCTTTTCAAAACCACAGAGGTTATGAGAAAGAAAATAAAAGCAGGCTCAATCCAGAGACATTGAAAGTCTTCTTCAGCAAGGGCCCAAACCTAATATGGCACCATCAAAAGAGGCCTTTTCTTCATCAGTGGATGGCAACATTGATACGATCAACATACCACCCACCCATTGTTGGTATGTGGACCATATCAGGGTTGCCATCCTTTGGTTCTCACTTCTCTGTAGAAGATCTAGACTCCTCAGCAACCAAGGTAAACATTATAAAGGAGGATATTTTTACTATTGTAGAACATCAGCTACAGTCAAATGATGCAATTACAAAGATCCTGTGTTACCCATTCCCTGATAATTAAAATGGATGACAGAGTTAACAGGGAGAATAATATTACAATATGAGGAATATTTAAATATGTAAATTGCATTTTATTCGCAAGCTAAAATGACAGAAGTTTGTTTTTGTTATTTTAACCATTCTGTGCTTCACCAGCTTTTCTCCTTTTCCCGACAGAGGAAACACCTTTAAGATTTTATGCAACGTAACCTGAAATTTACGGATTAGAATAGGATCGGCTAGACCAACACCAATTATACCCAATGTAAGATTGCTCTGACTTTTTTTCCCCTTTCATCTTGTAATGTATGCTTTTTATTACTCTACTTCCCAATAAACCACAACTGAAAAGGGCAATTAAAGGGTGACAGACAGACCATTACAACCCTTAAAAGTGTAGAGAACCTGTAAAGAAAGTGTTCAAGGTGTTAATGATTACAGTTTCCTACACCAAAAAATAAAAAAAAGGGCACAAGGAAAGTGAAGAAAGCTGACACTTAGTCTGGCTGACAAAAAGCCAAAACAGAATCAGAAGGAAAAAGTCAACAGCTAGAGTGGCAGGAGGCTCACGGGACAACAGCTTCAAGTGCAACTTAACATTGATCAAAGAAAGCAAATCTCATGTTCGACTTTGAAGAGAAAAAAAAATTTGAGATACAGATTTTACATTTTAAAAGAAAGTCTTTTTTTAATATGGCAAAATAAGAAAAGGAGGCTTATCTACGCCACTGAGTACCGCCAGTTGACCAATACTGTAAGATGGTTGAATGGGCCAATGATGAAAGATGTAAATCTTAGGTTCATCACAAAGGAAACTTGTACAGTGTCAAGTATATTCCGTGCCAAGAATGGTTCCTCACTGTGCGACACCAACTGTCAAACATGATGGTTGAATAGTCTGGGGCTCATTTGCGGATTCAGATTCGACAAATAACCTGAACCAAAAATACTACCACACAGAAATTTGTAGTGCCATGAAATACCTTCTAGAAAACACCTGGTTCCCATTCTACAGCAAGAGGAGTCCCCAAAACATAGAGATATGTCATCGCTATCTAATAAAGAAATGAACAAGATGGTAAGCTTCAAGTTCTAGAATGGCCGGCAGAGACCCCATAAAGCTGGTTAGGGATGTATTGGACAGAATAGTGAGGGCAAAGTTATCTACAGTGGGAACATCTACAATTGTATTGGGTAGAACTTCCGTAACAAGATTTGATTTCCATTGTAGAAATGAATTCCACAAGTGTGTTTGACTACTTTGAGCTAAAATCTTTAGATTACATTTTGTCAAAGGTAACAATTACATGTTTTTGTTTTATCTCTAG